ATGAGCCTGGCGCGTGGCCTGGGCAGTCTTTCGCCTGTTGTGTCCTGACGCCCACAACACCCACGCGGCTAAGCCGCCTCTGAACACCCCCATTGAATTCAACACTTGTATTCGTCTCCTCGACATTCCTCGCAAATTCGTGTCATTGTGGTTAAATTCACTTTCAAGTGCTAGATAATTTAGATTAACATTAAAGCAGTGGTGTTTTTCAACTAAGGCTTAAAACTTGGCCAGCTCGATGTGGTCTTTGATCCCGTGTCTTTGCGTGTGCTGTGTTGCAGGACGCGTCTCCCGGAGACGGGGACGACCCGATATTCACCTCTCACACCAGCGGTTGCTATGGAAGCGAAGAGCCTGTCTGCAACGTCATCGGCAACTACAGGTTCCTGCAAAGCCTGGGTGAGGGGGCTTACGGGGCCGTGCGGATGGCCAGGCACTTGCTGACAGCAAGAGAGGTAAATGCGAATTATGCTTATCTCTGTTACAACACTTGCCCTGTTTAATTGCATGTGTGAGAGAGAGGAAGAATGTGTATATTGGGGCTTATTTCTAAGCTAATGAAATTTTTTAAAGAATAGAACACATATTGGTCTGGAGTGCTGTTTAGTTTCCAAATTACTTTAAAGTGCATGAAGTGTTTGAGTAGTTCTTCAACTTTAAGAATGGTATGTTTTGATTTTTCAGTAGTACATGTCTGCCACACAGCAAAAAATTGCTTGACTTCAAGTATGCACTATGTTATGTGCTCAGGACTTGCAGATGCATGTATTGTGTATACTTACAGATTTTTTCCTCAAAGAGTTTTCTTCTTCTCATCCTAAATACTTTTCTCGAGCTGTGTTGATGGCAGAGTGCAAGAAGGCGGCATGCACTTCCTAGCCTCTGTCTACGGTCTTTTTGCTCAAACTACTCTTATTTAATCAACATACACCCATTTAAAAGCATGAAATAACTCCTGCTCACATTCTTCTGTGTGGTGTGGAGTCTGCTTTGCTGCTTGACATAGTTTCTGCATTTAGGTCTTTGCACTAAATAGTTCCTGCATTTAGGTCTTTCCCTCTGCCGAAATGCTCCTCACCCTTCAAGGGGGTTCACTCTGGGGAGTAGTCCTTGAAGAGAACCCCCTTCTCCTCAGGCACGGGAGGGCAAAATCCTGACGCTGCCCTGGGTCTGAACAGTTACATGTGCGGAATCACTGATTGTCTCGTCTCGTCCTATCCTGAACTGGCTGCCCCTAGCTGCAGGGCTGGGCGGAAGTAACTCACTGGTGGCTCAGAACCTCTTAGGCACTTAATAAATATTTGGTTGAATGAATGTGATAATACTTTTGAAGGAAGCTTTTAAAAGAAATGCTCTCCCCTGTGCCAGACCTCCTGGTTGGATGTGCCCGAGACGCTGTGACGGAAGTGCCCATGGCGTGGATGCCACGGCCCCCTGGCTTGGGCTCTGGAGCAGGAGCCCGGCCGGCCTTCTGCCAGCGAGCAGCCCACAGCCTACAGACCAGTCTTGTTTTCTGTGCGAGCGGGACTTCGGGGAAGGTGGAAGCGTGGGTCGACGCTAAGTGGATCCCTTAGGTAAAGACTGAACCAGAAACTTTGCCCTCTTCACAATTTCACCTCAAATTTAAGTGACCAAAATACCATGGATTTTTAGTTAGGACTCCTTGTGGTTGAGTCGCTTGGACCTGCTTTTTGGAATCTTAAACAACAGGTGGATAGAGCTGTCCCTGTGTTCTTCGTCAAAACTTTCTGAGATGAGGAACCAAACCTCCGAGTTACTTCCAGATCCAGTGTCACTGGCCAGTTTCCTCCTGCGGCGCAGCGGCAGCCAGCAGAGCAGAGGGGCAGGGACAGACCCCCCCTTTTCCTTACAGTGGCTTGGAGTCTGACTGGCTGTGTTTAATTCTAGTGGCTTCTCTCTCCAGAAGCGCTTAATATGACTAGCAGAGAGTGGCTTAATTTAAATTTTCGCAGTTTTCTAAAAGCTGTGAGCAAAAACCATTTTACTCCTGTTTTTTTTTCTATTGTGGGTATGACCAAAATCATAACATAAATATTACAGAAATCTATTATGCATTAAATTTCCTTCAAATTTTTTTCTTCAAAGAAATCACTTCAAGCATTTGGTATATATTCTCCAGAGTTTTTGTATAGACATTAACTTTTTGTTTATTTAAAACAAAAGGGACTCTAAATGGAGCATAATGTAAGTTGGTTTTAAACTTCGGTAATTGTAAGTTACCGTATCTGGGTCTGAGCACTCGCGAAGTCCAACCGTGACCATTTACTGGCAGCGTGGTTCCAGCGATGTGGTGCTTGGTTTATTAGACTGTCAAGTGGGCACTGGGGTGGTTCCTCATTTTTGTGTTGTTTAGAAACATGATCGCAGTGAACATTCCTTTGTATAACTTGCGTGCTGCTGTTAAATGATTGTTGTGAGGGTAAGGGTTCCTAGAAATGGAGTCCTTGGTCAAAGCGGGTGAAACATTTGACATTGTCCATAGATACTGTAAATCAATTTGAAAAAAAGGGATGCACCTACTTTATTATCTACCAAAAATGAATAAATGTCCGTTTTCCCGACACCATTGCCACATTCCCTTTTTTGTTAAAATAAACAAAAAGTTAATGTCTATACAAAAAACTCTGAGAATATATACCAAATTGCTGAAAGTGATTTCTTTGAAGAAAAAAATTTGAAGGAAATTTTACTTTATGCATAATAGATTTCTGTAATATTTATATATGATTTGGGGTCATACCCACAATAGAAAAAAAAACAGGAGTAAAATGGTTTTGCTCACAGCTTTTTAGAAAACTGCGAAAACTTTTAAATTAAGCCACTCTCTGCTAGTCATATTCAAGCGCTTCTGGAGAGAGAAGCCACTAGAATTAAACACAGCCAGTCAGACTCCAGCCACTGTAAGGAAAAGGGGGGTCTGTCCCTGCCCCTCTGCTCTGCTGGCTGCCGCTGCGCCCGCAGGAGGAAACTGGCCAGTGACCGCCTGGGACTGCTGGGAAGTAAACTCGGAGGTTTGGTTTCTCATCTCAAGAAAGTTTTGACTGAAGAAACACAGGGACAGCTCTATCCACCCTGTTGTTTAGATTCCAAAAGCAGTCCAAGCGACTCAACCACAAGGAGTCCTAACTAAAAATCCAATGGTATTTTGTCACTAAAATAGAGGTGAATTGTGAAGAGGCAAAGTTCTGGTTCCAGTCTTTACCTAAGATTCCACTTAGCATGGACCCACGCTCGCCCCCAAGTCCCGGCTCGAGGCTGTGCTGCTGCACACGGCTGCTCGCTGGCAGAAGGCCGGCCGGGGCTCCTGCTCCAGCAGCCCCAAGCCAGGGGGCCGTGGGCATCCACGCCATGGCACTTCCGTCACAGCGTCTCGGCACATCCACCAGGAGGGTCTGGCACAGGGAGAGCATTTCTTTTAAAAGCTTCCTTCAAAAGTATTATCACATTCATTCAACAAATATTTATTAAGTGCCTAAGAGGTGCTGAGCACCACGTGCAGTACTTCCGCCCAGCCCTGCAGGCTAGGGGCAGCCCAGCAGACTAGACGGGGAGAGAGACAACTCAGTGATTCCAGCACAGTGTAACTGGTTCAGACCAGGGCAGCGTCAGGATTTTGCCCCGTCCCGTGCCTGAGGAGAGAGGTCTGTCAAGGACTACTCCCCAGAGTGACCCCCTTGGAAGGGTGAGGAGCATTTCAGGCAGAGGGAAAGACCTAAATGCAGGAAACTATTTAGGTGCAAAGACCTAAATGCAGGAAACTATGTCAAAGCAGCAAAGCAGACTCCACACCACACAGGAAGAATGTGAGCAGGAGTTAATTTCATGGTTTTAATGGGTGTATGTTGATAAATAAGGAGTAAGTTTGAGCAAAAAGCCCGTATGACAGAGGCTAGGAAAGTGCATGCCGCCTTCTTGCACTCTGCCATCAAACACAGCTACGAGAAAAGTATTTAGAGAGAGAAGAAAACTCTTGAGGAAAAATCTGTAAGTATACACAATACAATGCACCTGCAAGTACCGTGAGCACATACACATAAGTGCATACTTGAAGTTCAAGGCAATTTTTGCTGTGGTGGCAGACATGTACTACTGAAAAAGAATAAAACACTACCCATTCTTAAAGTTGAA